TGACATTGAGTCCTGTGTGGAAGCGCATTTTGAAGAGGCGTATGAGCCACCTCTGAAGGTAACCCAAACCAATAGTATTGCATGTACAAGTCTCTTCTTTGTACGGAACGCAAGGAGCTCTATAGTGACTTGAGGCCACAATTAAGTAGTATTTGTGAAAATGACAATGTTAGGGCGGAAGTGTCATAATGGCGAGAGAAGTACATCGCCCACACTCAATTGCACAAGGTATTACATGCAGATAGGTGTAGGGCATTCACTATGCAATTGCTATTTGCACACCATCAGCCAAAATCAAGATAACTTAACAGCATTCATGTACTTTCCTCTTATTTGCTTGCCATTTTACCATACTCAGTCGCCTTCATCTGCCTATTCCCATCTTCCCTCTTCTGCTCCAGGTTACCATCTCCTCTCTAATCCAGGAGCAAAATACTGTGCTTCGATTTATACCCCCAAGTGAAGAAGCGAAAAATATAGAAGAACAATAAACTCTCTGCCACTACCGTTATCACACCATCTACTGCAACCTCGCAAATTCAACACTTTGCACCTCATACGAAGGCAAACTTGAAAACTGTGATAATTTCACTTTTGTTCCCAAATCGGGGAGAAAGCACCTCCACCACACTCATAATTGTCATCTCACATACAAACACAACTGCCTACCTACGTGCCCCAAGGTCGCCCTTAGTAGCTGATAGATCAATAATTCAAATCTCACTCATCAATGCTGCGACAAATCAATGCTCTCCACGTTACAATTTAGTCGCACTTTTTGAAATGTCGACTGGCTTGCTGGTTTCTAGAAAGTTCTACACTCTTCCTCGCGTTCACTGTCATCACCAGTTTACAAAGGAGGTTCTGTCAGAACTGGACTTGCATATTTGTAAGTGCATATTGCTTTCACTAATTCTATGCATTGACTTATTTGTAGGTGCAAGTAACAGATGCAGTGCGCTGTGCGAATTGCATGCATCGTTACAAAGTACACCAATGCTATCACCCACAGCTACCGTCTTCGCATCTCAGGCCACCTGCTCTTCTCTCCCCTCCTCCAATCCCAACTTCCAATTTCTGCTACAGTCAACACCATTGACTCTTATCGATGGCGTGGAACACACTGGTAAGTGTTTCCACCACCCACCAACTCCATTCGGTTCCCTTTGCAGCCGCAAGCTTGCATTCCATATCCTCTGTACGCGTCGTCTTACGTGCCTTGCTACGTTCTTTCAGACCTCGATGGTGACGTTGAGACTTCGGATGGATGGCAGGAACTTCCTCACCGGTTAGCTGAAAGCAATGGTGGTGGCGGTGGTGAAGGAAGGGATGACAATGGGAAGGGAATGGATGGCGCTGAGTTAAAAGTGTTGCCTGCTCGACAATCTGTCCTCAACTACGAGCCAATGGTCGTATGAGGATGGAGAGGAGGAGGAGGAGGAGGAGGAGGAAGGGGTGGGGTGGAGACACTTGTCACACTCCGAGTTTAGTTGCTCCTACCCCCCATTGTCTTCACTCTCAACATCGTCACTGTCATCGTCATCGGTATCATTTATACTAACCACAGTGACAGCACTGTCGGAAGGCGAACTGGAGACGACGCGATGGACGCTGACGATGGGGTTGGTGGGCACAGACACGAAAATGGGTGTGAATCGTGCAAAGTAAGCGGAGGAGGAGGATAAGGAGGAAGAGGAGAGAGGAAGAGCGAATGCGACTGAAAAGAGGTCGCAGGAGAGGATGTACGAGACAAACTCTACCTCAAAATCCTTGGGTAAGTGACAAAGGGTACATGGAGAGTGAAGGGGTGAAATTATGTTGTGTTGCTGCCACTGCTACTGCTTGAGGCGAGAAAGTGCAGAAGAATGTGCGAATGGATGGGGACTCACTGGACGGAGGGGCAGACAAGACAGTGAGAGAGCTTGCTATTGGGTGCGTGGGTGAAACAGCGTCTATTTATATACCACCTCTGCAGCCTAATTGGCGGCTTTCTCTCCTCGTAGCGCATCATTGGTTTCCCGCGATTCTTCCATGTCCTTCAGTAAGCTAGCATTGTTTCCTTCTGTTCTGACTTCCTCCCTTTTCTACTCTCGTTCCACCCAATTTGCTAACACCATTCTTAATTTCGAACTTCAGCTTTAGTCATCTCCTGCTCCTACCCCTACTTCTCCTCGTTTTCCTTTCTTCTTCATTGTAGTGGATCAGAAGACTGGGGAAGCATTCTTGCTGCCTGTTCTTCTCTCGCTGTTGCGCCTGATGTTACTGTTGATATTGTTTTGCATTTTATCGACAAATCCTCTCCTCTAGCTTAACCCCTGATTAACCATTCGACCGTTTGGCCTGTACGTTGTCCAATCTATTAGTTTTTCTACTTGATTGCTTGTTTATTTGATTGGTTGTTAGCTTGTAAGTTTGTCTGATTATTCTCTTCATCTTATGGCTTTGCTTTTGTCTGGACTGTTTCCCTGCCTGAATGCTTGTGGATGAAGCGATTCGGTGCTGCATTCAGCGATCGGGTTTGATTCACTCGAGTTGGTATAAGGTGGGAATGCCTGTGACAATATCTATCCGTCTGTTACAGTTTTAAATGCGGATCCTTTGTTCAGCAGATCGGTGGAAATCATCAGTCCTTCGTCTTGGTTTTAATGCACATTGTTGTCTTTATATTGTACTTAAGACGGTTATAGCAATGTACGGGCTGGTAGCCTCTGACTGCTATGCGCTGCTGGTTTGGCCTTGGGATTGTGAGTATAAATGATCGGATTTGGGCGGATTTTGTCTTTTTTCGCTTCCATAGCTTGTAGAATTGCAATTTTTCATCGGTCGACTCGTGTTTCTTAGGGACGGAGTGTAGTGAGACGAAAAATGCGTTGAAACACGGTAGGTGCTACTGTTGGCCTTGTCCAGGGCTGTAGGGGTATTTTGGTGGACGAGACGAAGTTCAGGTTGGGGAGGATATTGGCGACAAGCGTCGATGAGATGGTTGAAGGTGAAGGGAAGGCACAGCAAAACCCCCTTATTTGTATTGTGGGGCGTCATGTCTTCAGGATGACGCATTATGTGGCAAAGCTCGCCTTCTTTACGTGAGTGAGGGGTCAGTCACTTTGGTGTGATTATCAGACAAATTGGTCCATGTCACGTTGTTTAGACGGTTTCTCACTGCCATCAGACTCCAATGGGCAACATGAATGGTCCAATGCTCTACTTCCTTGCAGCATCCGCTTGTAGCCTCCTTCGACTTGAGACCTAAAGAGAAGAGCATTTGCTCTTTTCTCTCCATAATCGCTTCTCCTACGCGCATACCCATGTAATGTGTGCTTAAGAAAGTGTGTTTTCGTGAATCATTGAAATATCTTCTCAACAAGTAGCATTACGCGACAAATCCTGCGATCGCTCACTAATTTGTGTTTTCCTACCCAATACCCAGTTAGTAAGAGAGAGCCCAACGCTAGTTACCTAGACTTGCAAGACCACCCACACATCTGGCGTTGTCGTGGCTATGAGTAAATTGATGACGTGAAGTGGGCGTCGAAATCAATACCGATGGCCTGACATTGAGTTCATATACACTCGGGCCACTCTTTTGCGCATCGTGGCGATAAGAAGGGTGCAAGTTTGGTATGGGAGGGATGCAGTGTCACACGAGTCAGCACCATGGAGGAGCAAAACCAAGACGCCTCATAACAGTCCAATCAATGGCAAAGTCTCAAGATGCGCCAAATTTATGATTTAATTAGGCAAACTGTCAGCCCAACAAACAAGCAAATAAGCAAGCAATCGAGTAAAACACTGTGTTGTGCCGAGACCTCCTGGTCGGTATAAGAAGTCAGTACGTGCAGTTGGATATATGTATTCTGTAGACGAGAGGACAAATGGGTCTTGGCATGGCCCGAAGGCCAGCCCACATGTACAAGGCCAGACAAATCCTAAAGTGACCGCCAAACGTCATGTGGTCACATAAGCAAAGCATTAAAAACACAACAAATAAATCAATGTTAGTTAAGTGGTAAACTCGAATATTCGGAAATAAAAATAAAATAATGGCAGAATAAAACCTTAGACGCGGCAACGGGATGCTAACTTCTCGGCTCATTCCCGAGTATTTTGTTCTCATACTTGTCTACTGTTATATAACGAAATGAACAGGACATTCTACGTAGTAAGCAACCAAAGCTGGTGTAGGCTTGGCCGTGTTTGGCTTGCCCATTCCCTTCATTACCTAACGCACCTCGACTCAGTATCAATGTATTTTTCACTCGACATGTACAGCTAACTGTCTTGCAGATATTAGGGAACACAGTAGGCAGGTAGATCCTGACGTCACATCTACTAAAGCTGCGTGCAAGCAACGAAAAATTAATGTGACTCAGTGCCTTATGGACAGTCAAAATGCAAAATTGGTCCGACAATTCGAGAATCGCGAGGAAACAGGTGAGGAGGTGGGAACGTTCTAAATAAAGTGATCCTAAGCAATAGTGGAAGTGCGTGGTGTGCAAGCCTGATCCTAAATACCTCCCCATACTTCCTTATCCACAGCATACATCCCCATATTCATGCATATTTTTACCTACTCCTCTACTTGCACAACTGCCACAGACATGAAACAGGGATGCAGTGGATATGTGCAGGAATAATAATGATAATCTTGTTGATCTTGTTGTGAGCATACCGATCTTCATTAAAATTTTCAATCAAAAATGTATACCTTATGATGTAGGATTCTAGATGACGCTTGCGCACACCGAATTGGGAAAGGAAGCATACCGGTACAATGTGGCTTCTGAAGAAAGCATCTGGGATAGCGGTCGGAATGACTAATGTGACAAAAAACCAAAAGGAAGCACAAGCAAAGATACAGTGACCTATCTTTGACTCAGATGCATTGCAAAGCTGTTTTATGCATTTACTTCTGGACGACTAGGGAATAGCAATGGGTCGGTCATTGGCGCAATGAAAAAAGAAGAACCGACACAGAACTTGAACGTTGAAAATGAAATGAAGTAGCGTACGCAGCAGTCGTGACGCAGTCGTGATTCCCTTCCTTCCTTTCTTTAACAAAGATGGCACGATCAGCAGTGGTACTTGCCGCATCGCAGAATACCACGCAGTTTTATGCTGTATTGTCGTGTCTGATGGTTCACAGTCAAGAGCAGTTATTTTCATAAATTGAAGTGGAGCAAAAAAAA